GAAAATGTCATAACAGAAATTAGAGAAAATTGTTTTGTGACGAACAGGAAGGTGTAAGAGTAAGAAAAAAAATTCAAGCAAGAAGTCCTCTGCAAAAACAAAACTAAAGGGATAATAAGTTCAACATACTAGGGTCTATGCGCAATTAACACTTACCCTCTATTCTTTTCAGAAGTCCAAACTTTCTATGTAATAATAAGATATTTTAAAGACAAACATAACGTAAATAACTTTCATATTATGTTCACTTGTTTGCAGGGTGGCATGCTAACATGAAAAGGGAAGGTAATGCAGTTGTGCAGCCACCCCGGTGCAAGGAGGAATGATGCTCTAAATATATTCTAGCTTAAACGCAGTCAGACTCTTGAATTCATTATGTTGTGTACGTTCTTTCTTATTATTAGCTTCTTTTGCCGCGAGCTCAACTTATATATGTTTGATTTTGTTAAAGTAAGAGAGAGAGAATCTTGGGTAAATTTCCCTTGAATTGAATATTGAGTATGCACATATATTTATACAAGTAGAGGAGTGTGAGGTTTGTTCTCCCAAGCAATGTGGGACTAAAACCCACTACAATACACTATTATCAACAGCCCCCTTCAAACTCATGTTGGATCAAACAAAGTGAGTTTGCGTACAAGAAACTGGAACCGATGAACAAGTAAGGCCTTTGTAAAGAAATCTGCAAGCTCGTCAGCGGATGAAACATGAGGAAGTAGAATTATCTTGTCCTTGATAACTTGGTGACGGACAAAATGAGCATTGATCTCAATATGTTTGGTCCTTTCATGAAATACTGGATTATTAACAATCTGGATGGCACTCTTATTATCACAGTAGAGAGGAGTAGGAGTCGTAACAGAAATGCCGAAATCACTGAGAAGGCGACGAAGATGAATAATCTCTTTAGCTGTTGTGGACATTGCACGATACTCTGCCTCAGTACTGGAAAGAGCAATAACATCTTGTTTCTTACTTCGCCAGGAAATAAGGGAATCACCAAGAAATATACAATAACCTGTGGTAGACTTTCTGGTAGTTGGATCACCAGCCCAATCAGCATCAGAATATGCACAAAGCTCTAACTTAGATGTAGCAGGAAACAAAAGTGAGCGAGTGCTAGTACCCCGGAGGTACCGAAGAATCCGTAATAAGACAGCATAGTGTACAGAACGTGGAGCACTAACAAATTGACTGACAATACCAACAGCATGAGAGATATCTGGTCGAGAGATGCACAAATAGACCAACTGGCCAACAAGATGTCGATATCGGGTAGGATCATATAGAGGCTCATCGTTAGTAGAGCAAAGTTTGACATTCTGCTGGAGTGGAGTATCGACAGTTGCATTATCAGTTAGCTCAGCTTGATTTAGAATATCTGAGAGATACTTCTGTTGAGACAGTAATACACCCCGCGGGCCTTGAGAAATTTCTAGACCAAGGAAATACCGAAGAGATCCAAGATCCTTCATGTGGAACTGTTGTTGCAACTGAGATTTTGCGTATTGTATACCTGTCATATCATCACCTGTAATGATCATATCATCTACATAGATGAGTAATAAAACCCTGCCACGCGATGTAGTGCGAACAAACAGAGAAGCATCTTGATGACTTTCTATAAAGCCCGCTTTGAGCACGACAACGCGAAAACACTCAAACCAAGCGCGGGGTGCCTGTTTGAGACCATAAACAGCACGGCGAAGGAGACATACATGTCCCGGAGGAATATTTGACCCTGGAGGCGGTTGCATATATACGGTCTCTGATAAAGAGCCATGAAGAAAAGCATTTTTGACATCCATCTGGTATAAGGGCCAACGATGAGCAGCAGCGACCGCAAGGAGAGTACGAACAGTGAGCATCTGAGCAACAGGAGCAAATGTCTCCTCATAATCAATACCTTGTTGCTGAGTAAAACCTCAAGCCACTAAACGAGCTTTTCGCCGTTCAATGGTGCCATCAGGACGAAACTTGACCTTATAAACTCATTTACTGCCAACAAGAGAGATCCCAGGAGGACATGGAACAACATCCCAGGTATGAGTTTGCTGAAAGGCTTGAAATTCCTCAGCCATAGCCTGTCGCCACTCTGGAATTTGAACTGCCTCTTGGAAGGACTTTGGCTCAACAATAGTATGAATGGCAGCAAGAAAGTTATGAAAGATAGGTGAATAAGAAGTAACAGAAGCATACCGGGCAGGCATGACATGTGGGCGTTTGCCTCGACGAAGAGCAAGAGGAACCTCAGGCGGGGGAGATGCTGGCGCAGGTGCGTGGAGATCAATAGTATTTTCTGAAGTGAGAGTTGTGTCCACGGGATATGGATTAGATGGAGTAAGAGAAGACTCGGGTGAGGAAGAGTCAACAGAAGAAGAGGGAGAGATGTCAGGGAGATCTCGAAAGGAAAATTGAGGTGAAGAAGTGGGTGATGCAGTTGACGGGGAAGCATGATCAGTAGAGTGGAGGAAATTAAAGTCATCAGAAGTAGAATAATATGGAGAATCCTCTTCGAACTGAACATGACGAGATATATGAACTCGACGAGTTGCGGGATCATAACAACGATAACCTCGATGTTCTGAACTAATTCCTAAATAAACACAAGAAACAGCTCTGGGAGACAATTTATCACGTTCGTGAGATGGCAGAAGAACAAAATATCGACAATCAAAAACGCGAACTAGATCATAACGGGGAGGATGAGTATAAACATGACTATAAGGAGTAGCACCGGAAAGAGAGCTAGATGGAGTGATATTAATGGCATGAGTCGCGGTGAGAATAGCCTCAGCCCAAAAACGACGAGGAACGGAGTAAGAAATGAGCATTGATCGAGCAATATCGAGGATATGACGATGTTTGCGTTCAGCAACACCATTTTGCTCATGAGTGTAGGGACATGACTGTTGAAAGATAGTCCCATGAGAGGACATGATAGAGCGCATGGCAGAGGATAGGTACTCTTTGGCACAATCAGAACGAAAAACTTTAATACGAGATTGCCATTGAGTGAAAATCATAGCAGTGAAGGCTTGATAAGCAGTAAGTACGTCAGAGCGATTCTTAAGTAGGTAAACCCATGTAAAACGAGAGAAATCGTCGATAAAACTAACATAATATAAGTAGCCAGATGAAGAAGGCAAAGGAGCTGGCCCCCAAATATCAGAATGTACTAAATCAAATAAGGAAGTGGATACAGATGTACTCATTTTAAATGGTAAAGCAGTGAATTTAGCCAATTTGCAACCAGCACATGACTCAATACTAGAACTAGATGATACAGGATCAAGTACTCCAGACTGAATAAGACTCTCCAGCCTTTTATTAGACACATGACCAAGTCGTCTATGCCATAAATTAGCAGGAAGCGAGGTAGAGGGTTTTGACGAACGAAGAGAAGCAACAAGAGAACGTGGACGTATGGACTCTGGAAGGTGAAGATATTCTAGAAAATACAGTCTGTGCCTCCTACGACCCGCCCCAACCGTCTTGCCCGTCTGTGGATCCTGCACAATACAAGTATCAGAAGAAAATGAGACAAACAGGCCCGCCATGCATAAAGAGCTAATAGAAATTAAATTCAAGCACAATTGTGGAGCCACATAGACGGGACCAAGTGTTAGACGACCAGATGGATCATTTGTGGGGGTAATAGAGCCATACTGAGTAATGGACAATGGTTGTCCAGCAGCTGTGTAGATAGGAGGAAGAGAGGATGAAGTAAAGACAGAGGATAAAAGTAAGGCATTACAAGTCATATGAAAGGAACAACCAGAGTCAAAAATCCAGAGATCATTCATACCAGAGATCTGAAGAACCAGCAAAATGCATACCAGATAGTTGTGCGGCGGATGTAGAGGTGATATGTTGGAAAACATCAAGTTGACGGCGAAGACTTTCAATAGCTTGAATAGTAGAGTCTGAAGTAGTAGAAGGTATAGCATTGGCTAACAATCCTGGTGTACAGGAGGGTTGAGACTGAGGGGGTCGCCAACCACGACCAGTACCTGAGGAACGTAACTCAGAATGAAGCTTGAAAGCATGTCTCAATGCGGTGTCCTTCCTTCTTGCAATATTTGCAAGAGAGCTTAGATCGAGCCTGTGGAGCAATGCGGTGTCCTTCCTTCTTGCAATATTTGCAAGAGAGCTTAGATCGAGCCTGTGGAGAGGGAGTCTGTGGAGAAGTATGATTCATAACAGGAATATTTGCAAGAGAGCTTAGATCGAGCCTGTGGAGAGGGAGTCTGTGGAGAAGTATGATTCATAACAGGAGTAGTGACAGGTAAAGACAAAACAGTCTCGAGTGAAGAGGTAGGAGTGTTTGTTGACAAATTGAGTCGTGCTGTCTGCTGCCGAGTCTCATAAGCAGTGAGAGCTCCCATAACTGAGGCCAAAGTCGGAAATTGAGGCAGATGAAGTAGTTGATCAGCCATAGTTGAATATTTAGGAAGGGACTAAAACAGTTGATGCACCTCATGTCGTTCGTACCAGACTAACCAGTCTTCATATGTGGAATTACGTCCAGGAAGCATAGAGTGTAACTCTGTCCAAAAAGCTTGCATTTGTCCAAATGGGACTGCAGAGATGAACTACCTTTGCGTTGTAGAGCAATGCATTGCAGAAGATATGCCTCCCGTGCACCCGAGCACTCAGTGAAACGCTCAGTGAGACGAGTCCACATGGCCCGAGCAGAGGGAAGCAAGCCAATCTCGACAGTAAGACCAGAGCCAACACAGCGAGTGAGATAATCCATGACACGAAATTCCTGCAATTGCCACTCTGAACTCTCCTTGACATAGAGAGCACGAGCAGACTGAAGATCGACATTACCACTGCCAGAGGTAATAGTATTGGATGAAGCAACAGTGCTGATGGACGGTGGAACTGGTCCCATACTGGTGAGATGATCAAGCAAACCAGCGCCACGTAAGGCATTGGTGACAATGGTGGACCACTCTGCCCAGTCACTTTGATCATTGAGGGGCAAAGGTGGTTTGAGAATCTTCTCTAAAGGAGCCATAACAGCAATGTTGAGATGTTAAGATGCCGAGATGCCGTTACTGACTGCGAAACGGCAATGTCGTTCGTTTGAGGCCGAGAGACGGCTTGAAACGACGATGCCGTTAATTTGAGACCGAGAGACGGTCTTGAAACGGTAATGCTGTTAAAATAGAACCTGGAGGTTAGAATGAAACCCGAATGTTTAAAATAGAATCCGAATGTTAGAATGAAACCCGAAGGTTAAACGAGAACGCGAAACGCGTTAAGAGGCCGCAAAGCGACAAGGCCAAAATATCTGGCAGATAAAAAAAAAATTTAA